TGGCTCACAAAGGAATTTACCGACGTTTGACTGCCTCGACTGCACTTTTCTGCCTGTTTTTTAGTCGAGCTTGCTTTCTCAAAATGTATTTATTTCAGTAAGCTATGAAATGTGAAGTTAGAGTATGCTTTGGGGTGGGGGTGGTAATACTTGCCCCGTCATTATTAACGGGCTATACGTTAGTAATAATATAATTTACAGCTGCTGTATAAGTAAAATATATAAAAGTGCTACAGCGCCCTCTGCACTAAGTACTTGTTATTGTGTGAAATTGTTGAATAATATTTTAAAGCATTTTTATTGGTTGTCAGACAATTTTTATTCATTCGTGACCCCCCCCCCCTCCACCCAACGTTTTGTAAGTTCTGACCTGCCTGATTGATTTTGTATATAAATCCATTATGTTTAGCTGTATATCATAGCTGATAGCTGAAAAAGACAGGTCATTCTATCACATAAACGCTCTTAAGTCTTTGTTGCTCCGTTTACTATTGTATTAGAACAATATACTTACGTACACAAATGACGAATTAGTACATAAAAAATAACAAATACAATTAGCTAAGTATCACGAACAAATTGGTATATTTTAGACGACAAATAAATGATTTTCCCAAAACAATCTTGTTTAAATTGATGGTTTAAAGTGATAATATTTTAATGAAAGTCTAATCAGGCATACTAAATGTTAACCGCTGATTTACAATTACACAAATCATATATCATACTTTCAAATTGTAGACTTTATATATATATAAATCGTTACTGAACATTAGTTTAATGTATTAAAACAACAGAATAATTTAAATAGTTTTACTTAGAAAACGATATTTCTAAAGCAAACATTGATTAAAACTTCTTTATTATCGAATATGTAACATTTCACTGGGTTAATCTGGCATCATCAGGCACAGCAAACTAATTACATTTGATATCAACAGATGGCAGCAAAATAGCTAGTTGTATTTATTTTTCTGGTGCAAAGTACAACAATTGGCTATCTAGGCTCTGTCCACTGCTGGTAATTGAACCCTCAGATTAGAGCGTTGTAAGTCCGTAAACTTGCTGCTGACCCATCGGGGGAAGAACTAGGTGTATCAAATTTGCCTTTAGAGCGTTTAATTGCATTCCTAATATAAAAAAATATCTCAATTACAATAATTATCCTAAGGCTTATTATTTTATAGTGGCAACTACAACTGCTTCAGAAGTTGTTAGTAAATACGTTACAGCTGAGAGAGGTACCTGAATGAAACATGTATATTATATTCCCTATTTTACAAACTAATTTAGTTAAATTTTCGAAGACTGAAGTAAGGATTCACCACATATATATTTATCGTTTCTTGTAGTAGTTTAATCACCTTATATGGTTATTGGCACAGATATTTGTAAAACTCTATAACAATAAAAACTTGTGAAATATTTGAAGAAAATACTGTGTTCAGTTTTAATACGACATTTTCATATCGCAAATTTCTGCGTTTTAAAACAACGATTTCTTATTGAAACTTATGAATTGGCTGTAGTATAAATTTGTAATTTCGGTCCGTGACTTAAGCGTGCATCCATTTATCATCATTCGGAGTATGGCGTGAATAATAGTTAAAAAAATATATTTACATACAACAGGGATTTAACCTCAGCAGCAAAGAAAGCATGTTTTCAACGAGTGTAATACGAGTATTGGGACGAGCCCTGTGTTATCTGCTTAAATATATTTTTTTTTATTTTATGAAATGAGTTTGTTTGTTTGAAGTTAAAGCACAAAGCTACATAATGGGCTATCTGTGCGTTGTAAGTTCGCAGACATACCGTTGTGCCAGTGGGGTGTGTGTGTGTGTGTGAAATGAGAGCTTTATATATGAGCGGGTGATATTTTTTACCATGAAAACACTATTCTGAAGATGCAAGTAGCTGGAAATTCGAGACATTCTCTTATATACTCATTGATAGGATATCTACTCATCAGTTCTTACTGAGTCATTCATCATCCTCTCGTATATACTCATTGATAGGATATCTACTCATCAGTTCTTACTGAGTCATTCATCATCCTCTCGTATATACTCATTGATAGGATATCTAATCATCAGTTCTTACTGAGTCATTCATCATCCTCTCTTATATACTCATTAACAGAATATCTAATCATCAGTTCTTACTGAGTCATTCATCATCCTCTCTTATATACTCATTGATAGGATATCTAATCATCAGTTCTTACTGAGTCATTCATCACCCTCTCGTATATACTCATTAATAGAATATCTACTCATCAGTTCTTACTGAGTCATTCATCACCCTCTCTTATATACTCATTAATAGAATATCTACTCATCAGTTCTTACTGAGTCATTCAGATAGTTTCCACTCATCACCTCTTATCGAGTCTTCCACAGCTAGCCACCTCAACTAACTTTAGACAATTATCAAAACTCGTTGTAATAACTCTAAATTTTTAATTCCTATATTCATGATAGAATGACTCTCCGAGTCACAAAAACTCACGATACTGCTTGCGAAAAGGGGTAAGTGATGGATTTTCAGTGGCAAAAACCTCCTGTAACAACTTTATTTTGTCATATTTTAATATCTATTTTAACATAAACTTTCTACACAGAGATCTGTTAAGCAGTAAAAACAACCTAGTCCTTAAAAAGTTAGAGCTCAGTGAAAACAATGTAGCCCTTAAAAATTGGATTCAGTAAAAACAATCTAGTCATTAAAAAATTGAGCTCAGTGAAAATAATCTAGTTCTTAAAAATTGGTGTTCAGTAGAAACAACCTAGTCCTTAAAAAATTGGTGTTCAGTAAAAACAACCTAGTCCTTAAAAAATTGGTGTTCAGTAAAAACAACCTAGTCCTTAAAAAATGGTGTTCAGTAAAAACAACCTAGTCCTTACAAAAATGGTGTTCAGTAAAAACAACCTAGTTCTTACAAAAATGGTGTTCAGTAAAAACAACCTAGTCCTTAAACATTTACAATTAGCCTCTCTTGAAACACAGTCTGGCATGGCGTAGTATTAACGTGTCGGGCTGCAAGTTGAAGGATCCAAGGTTGGAGAGGTGATGCCATTTAACACGCCACACACTTTCAGTCGCAGAGGTGCCATTCATTTTTATAGTTTCAACTTTTTATTGAAGCTTCGTAAAATTGGTGTGATTCATTTACAAACTAATTATCTTCAATGAACATGTAACATAATAGCATATAAATATTTCAGGATGAAAACTTATTCTGCTTTTTCCAAATGGGTATCTCATCTGATCGTTACACCGATTAAGATATGGTTTCTTAAATTTTGTTAGATTATTATAGACATTATAAAAGTTATCTTTGCTTGAGAAAGCTCAAATATAAACAAAGACAAATATTCTAATAAGTTGTTTTGCTTTATAGTAAACACTTTTACAAACAATTTGACAGGCCTGAGCAGTCCAGTAGGTACAGAGTTTTAGTGTTCATCTTATTGTGAAACAACCCGGTACAGTATTTTCAAAATGGAGTTCAGCCATCTTCTCTAAAGAAAGTAGTTGTGATTCCACATGAATCACTCATTACCTGCAAGTTGGTTATAATTGGTCCAAAAACATGGGCCTACCTGTAAATTAATTATAATTGGTCCAAAAACATGGGCCTACCTGTAAATTAGTTATAATTGGTCCAAAAACATGGGCCTACCTGTAAATTAGTTATAATTGGTCCAAAAACATGGGCCTACCTGTAAATTAGTTATAATTGGTCTGAAAACATTAGCCGTAACTACTGGTTTTGTTTCATTTCATGGATTGTGTTGACCTTTGCAAAATATATGTAAGAATTAAATACAAAGGTCAATGATCAAATAGAGTTCCGATGTCCTACAACTAAAAAATGCCCAAAGATGATAAAGACATTTTTAACGTGTAAATGGTAGAAAAAACGTGGTTAAAAGTAATTCCCTATACGACTACATGAGGGGGATCACAAAGAACCCCCTTTCTGCCTACATACAGAAGATACGTTTACTTCAGAGTACTTACGATAACCTCCCCTCCTTCTCTTTTTTAATAAAGTCCCATATAGTGATATTGATAATCATCAACGGAGCTTCGATAAGATGCACAACGCCATTTTTGACAGGAATGTTAGGTCGGACGATCTTGGACAGGACCACTCCTTTGCGGTGTCGCTGGTCACTCTGGAGAGTATTGCTTTGGGCGTACACTGCCATCGAGAGTACAAAAATAAAAATACCATAAGTGTCACAGCTTACTGAATGTTGTTACCTCACATTTTTTATAGTAAAGCGATGCTATTTCTATTTTTGTGGAACATTTTAATAATTCGGATAAAAACTGCTCTACTCTGTATGTTTTCTTCTTCACAGTTATCCAAACAACATATATCTAGACTTAATGCTTCTTTAAATGACTTATGCTGTATTATCTAATCAACCTGAAGAAATATTCAAATAGCGAATAATTCGAGGTTCTTACCAAGTCAGTAACTTGTATTTCAGAATTGTCTTTAACGAACGTAATAAAAAACGTTCCAGGTTAAATATTTAGTCCTACTTTCAAACTTTATCGATTCACGAGGTAAGATCATGGCAGAAATTCAAATCTGTGATCGATCCCTAACGTCAACAGCCTACTTGTTCTGACTACAACAATTCACGACATAAATGGCGAAGACGTCAACACAGATTTATAGCTTACAAATAAAGCCTTGATTTCACTTTTAAGTCTAATCAGATTCATTCAACTTACACACGTAGCCATTGCCCAGACTATCAGTCTGATTAACCAAAGACAGTTCAACTCTTAGCTCTGCTGGATCGTAAGCATACGCTCGGTAAGGTTCTGACCCCATGGTTCGGGTGAAAAGTACCTTTCTTGGGATGATGTGCCCTTTGATTACCTAGAAAACAAACAAAGAACGAAATCTAATTACAAAGTCATGTGACAATTTGAGTTTCCTTTCTAAGGGACTTTATGATAACATACAATAAATAATAGACGATCTAAAAAGAAGAGAGGCGAGAGTTTAACTTATTAACATATTAGATATTGAAATTCGATTCGACGATAATTACCTTTTTTTTATTAGAGTAACAGTAAAGCTTCACTTATTGGATATTGGTTTTAGTTTTATTGAATATAAGGTACCAGATTAGAACAAAAAAACAACACGTATTAAGATAGTGCTTTCATTGATGCCCTTTCTTGTATTTCTAGCTATTTAACACGTCAAAAGATTGCTACTTTCTAGATAGTACTGAAGACAAGTGAACTCGTGAAAAATTGAGTTTTCATGCAGAGTCAGAGTAGTACTAGTGAAATGTCTAACCCTAACCTTTAGTTTTATTATCTGTATATTTTCAGTGTTTTAAAGTTTGTTATACCAATGTAACAGAATACTTCTTCTTCATATACGAATAAAATGAATTTAAATTGTAAAGTAATTTCTAGGTAAAGAAAAGAAGAATATATATTTTTGTCTGTTGACTTTGGTTTAAATCATTTCTAAACGGTATAGTGGTATCGAAGTTTCCCATTTTCACGTGAAACACGTAAGTGATGTCCGTCAACGTGGTAATAAAATATTAAATAAGCTACCTCATTGGGTCGTTTCAAACTATTTTCTACCAAATCAGTATAAATTTGAATACAGAATCTTTTAAATAGAACAGGTAATAATGTTGTTGTTTTTATATGTGTTCGGCTATTGTCTGAATGATACATAAATGTCCTTTTTTTGTTTGTTTGTTTTTTTATGATAAAATGTATGATAAAACATTTCCAACCTTGCTATCTATATCACGTAGTCTGTTCATGTTTTGATCATTTCCTTCCCCAACAGGAAGGAAGTAAGTGTGGTTTCCAACATCAGTGAAGAAATCGATTACATCTTCAGATCGAACACGCGATGCAAAGGCTCTGCAAATTGAAATATCGTCACAGTTCAGAAGAACTACATACCACTCAAAATCCTACAAAAATTGATTTAGTATACAAAGTACAGTTTGATAGATATCAAAGGTAAACATTTCCCCCATTCATAAAATTAACAACTCTTTTATATATAAACCAACTTATTAAAAACAAATCGATTACATCTTCAGATCGAACACGTGATGCAAAGGCTCTGCAAATTGAAATATCGTCACAGTTCAGAAGAACTACATACCACTCAAAATCCTACAAAAATTGATTTAGTATACAAAGTACAGTTTGATAGATATATATATATATATATATCAAAGGTAAACATTTCCCCATTCATAAAATTAACAACTCTTTTATATATAAACCAACTTATTAAAAACAAATCGATTGCAATAATCAGTTGCGGTATACTAATTGTGTGAATTGATTAATTGACTTTTTTCACATTTAAACCATATTTCAGAATGTCTTGTAAAACAACTAGATGGTTGCAGACAGGTAAGTAGCAATGGTTTACTCAGAGAGAAGAATACTACAAAAACAGAACACCTGACAAAGAAATTAGTTTCTAACTCCGCGTGAGCTTGCGTGCTTACCTAAATATTAATTCGGATATTTTGCGTTTGGGGTAAATTCTCGTTTAGTGTATTTTTAAAGGTTATGCAAATAAATTTAAGCGATAGGCGAATTAGGCAAGGTGCCTGATAATTAACACACTAAATGTATTGTACATATCATGCAAAGGGGACTCGAAAGTCAAAATAGACGTTACATTTACAGACTTACAACACTAAAATCCGGAGTTTGATTCTCCGCAGTAGACAGAGCGCAGGTAACAGATTGTGTAGCTTTGCACTAAAACAAGTAAAAACAAAACAACAGTAACGATACTGAAATTATCTTTCAAGATCTTTAAGTATGAACATATTTTTAAAAAGGTTTAATTTGCTGTCGAAGTAGTCTTCGCCACAGGTGTTTGTTTTAATACTAACTTTACCTCGTGTGTTTCCATAAATCAAGGCATGAGAGTGTACAAGACATACGATGTATCCATTGCTTTACACACAGATAACGTAATATAATCCTCAGATAAAGGATGCGTCGCAGATGCTCAGTTTAGGTAATATAATCCTCAGATAAAGAATGTGTCGCATATACTCAGTTTACGTAATATAATCCTCAGATAAAGAATGTGTTACAGCTGCTCAGTGTAGGTAATATAATCCTCAGATAAAGGATGCGTTGCAGCTTCTCAGTTTACGTAATATAATCCTCAGATAAAGAATGTGTTACAGCTGCTCAGTGTAGGTAATATAATCCTCAGATAAAGGATGCGTTGCAGCTTCTCAGTTTACGTAATATAATCCTCAGATAAAGAATGTGTTACAGCTGCTCAGTTTACGTAATATAATCCTCAGATAAAGGATGCGTTGCAGCTT